TAAGTTTTATGTTATCCCAGTGATAATTCCAAGTATTTTCGCAATCGCCATTCTCCACATTTCAACTTCGAAGAATCGTTCACATCATGTACAAACATACATATATGCAATTTGGTGCAGTAACTTCTTTCGTCTATCACTGTGGGCTGCACTTAGCCCCACAGACAGTTCACTTATCAGTCGCATCTAATCCTCGTCAGCGACTTGAACCATTTGCAACCTTCGGTCGTGGCACTTCTCTCGGAGGTAGTCGTACAGTAGACCACCGCACGAAAGATTGGACGCAGGCTCCCAAGTCGGGTCCTCATAGCCGACCCATTTCACCTTGAACTCTCTGACGTCTCGTTCTGTGCTAGTGGACAGGGGAATCCTATCGTCCAGTATCGCTTCAACTTCAAACCCACCTGCGATGTGGTCAGGTTCCCAGCTATTCTCTGGGAGCAACTCCTCATCAAAATCCAATCGTGAGGCCTCGTTCACGTCCGATGTCAAACGAGCACTCGGTCGGTCTCCAAATTCATCTACTACCTTTAAGCGTGACACATGCACAACCAGGTAAAATCTGTATCGATTTCGGCCAGGAAGTTCGAGTTTGTAGGCAAACTCCTCCATCTTCTTCTTGACCCTAAACAGTCCATGCCATCGGTGTGCCAGATTTTACGTCAATCCCGGCTTCACTCATTCCATATATAGCCACACACGATTTCCAACCTCAAACCGAGATCTCGTATCACCCGTCCGAGTCCTCGGTCACTGCTCCTGTTGCAGGCCGTCCATCACTTTGCGTAACGATTTGGCCTGTTTCTGGGGTCATACCCCTTTCTCGACCACGGAGAGTTTCATTGTCTCCGAGCTTTTCGGTGGCCTGGTGTTCCTTGGCCATTTCCAAAACTATTTCTTGTTGGCGGTTCATCTCTCGATGCGTCCGACTGTCGACGGAGTCCTCGTTTGAGCGATGAGGGCATCGCCTTGAGTGTAGACTGAGTCCCATCCGTGGACGAGGAAAAATGTGTCTCTTTCCTCGTTGAGTCCATCAAGTTGTTCTCAAAGATCAGCTTTTCGGCGATCTCATCCCAATCCTGTTGCAATGGATCTTCCGCATGCACGCGTACTGATTGCATGACGGTCTTGACCGAGCGCTCTTGTTGATCGTTGGCTTGGGGTTGGTAACTCAACGTCGCCCTAGACCTAGATAGCATCATTTCGGTGAACGATTGGAACACCTCGCTCATGAATCGTGGGTCTCTGCCATGTCAGATGAGGAAGGGTGCGCCGAAGCTTCGGTACACACACTCCTCAAAAGATTGAGCTACTCTCAGAGCAGTCGTGTCTGCCATGGCTTTGCCCATCACGATTCCCTTGAATGCGCATTGAAACAGTAATAACGCTGTGTTGCCCCACCGAGACTTCAGTAAGCGTATCACAAAATCCATCGAAACGACCTGAAACGGTCGTTCAGCTAGTATGTTTCCTAGGGAATATCCGCGGATCTTTGGTCGACTTTTACTTATGCTGCAGTCGGGACAGGACCGCCGTGCCTTGTCACGTCTGCGTATAGACACATCCAATAGTATTCTAGTTTCACTCTGTAGAAAGTTCGAGCGATATCTTGGTAACCCCCTTCCAACGAGTCATGGCAGTTCTGTAGTACCTCCTGAACCATCGTTGAGGCTGCAGCATTACTTCCTCTTGCTGCTGGTCACTTCTCAAAAGCCTCGTTCCCACATAGTCGATCACATTATCTTCGCTTAGGACGAAGTGGTCGGACATTTTCCACGCGTCTCTCGCTGCACGGTACGCCAGGGTTTATTCTTCACCGCGGAGAACTGTCTTCAAGTTCGCCCATCGCAACACCTCGCCCTGAGCGGTCGCAATCCTTCTTCTGCGTTCTCTCTGGACCGTTAGTGGATCCACGTCTTTTGCGTTAGGCGACACGGAGGTGGTACCATTACCCTTGATAACGCTGCTTCTTAGTCGATTGAGTCCTCGGTTGGCACGCCGTTGGCATCCTCTCGTTGAGCTGCATTTTCCTCATCCGTCACTGAGGTTTCGTCGGCGAATCAGACGCGTTTGGGCTTCGATTTAGCTTGGAGCCTGGTTGTTACCATTAGGTCCCCTGTCTCGCTCTGGCCCTCTCGCACAAAATCGAAGAATTTTTATCGACGCGGTACCGGGACGGTTACGAATAGTAGCGACGGTTTCGTGTGTCGCAAATGTCGCGCTTGAACCTGGGAGTGTGCGACGCTGACCGAGGGTTCGTCCACCGAGGACTCGGTGAAAGGTGCATAGATGACTTCTTGGATGCGGTTCAGTGATCTCAGCTCTGCCAACATAGGCTCGGTAGATATCACACTAGACGCCTTATTTCCTACGCTTGCGTCGCCAGGGAGTCAGCAGACGCATTATACTCTCGTACTGCTTGTAAGTACTAGACCGAGCAACGATCTCTCCGTTGAGTTGGGTCATATATGACTCCTTCTTATACGCAATTACCCCTAGTGACTGCTGGATTGCTAGTCTCGAATCACCAACAATGACAAGGTCGGGGGCACCGATGTCCAGGCTGCCTGAACCCCATTGTTCATGCCAGAGTACTCGGCCATGTTCACTGTTGTTGCTTCGAGATAAGCACTCGCAGCGGTGACTATTGTCCAGGCTGGTAGTTGCCACACGATCCATGGGCAACTGCCATAGCCACCATATTTCTCGGTTTTGGCTGAACCATCGGACGAGACTACGATCCCACAATATGATTTCGGTAGACGAGCATATAGCAACTGAGGATTCATGCGAATGGTAGACGATCCCTTCGTAGGAGGTGTAACCGTCGCCAACGAATCTTCCAAATCCACAAAACTCGTTAACCCCGCTTGCAGTAGCTGTGCGAAGGCGCAATCCTTCTCCTTTACTCAGTTAACGACCAAGTGCCACGGTGACAGCATTACTGCAAATTAGTCGTACGTCCAAACAGTGACTTGGACGTATGTACCCATTCTAGTGTTGAAACTCGCGTGTACACATGAATCGTGCGGCCTGCCAGCTGGTCATAACACATCTTCAGTAGCTAGTACTTCCTTCTCGGTCGGGTGGTAATTCATCTCGGCCTCTTTCAGTACTCATCCGCAAAACTGGACCGGGTGCATTTTGTCGTCGTGCTCTTACATCAAGGTGGAGCTTAATGCCCACTCGTTCGCAAACAGCGTCACATGAACCTCTTGTCGACGGTCAAAATGGCGCAGAATTAGGACGTCACCGATCTTCTGTTGCAATTTTGCAAAACTCTGTCGGGCGACCGACGGATCACCGCCCGGTTCAAAGTCTTTTTCCTTCAACTGGTACAGCGCAGCCGCGTAGACGGCGAAGTCCTGGATGAACCTGCTATAGTAGTTCAGCGCCCCCAAGAAAGACTGCATGCCCTTATTACTGACCGGGAACGAGAACTCGGCCACCCACTTAATCTTCTTAGCGTCCACTCGCAACCCTTCTGGCACCACTTCGTGCGAAAGAAAGTCGACTCGTGACTGAACAAACATGCTCTTAGTGAAACTAACGCTGATTCGGCACTAAGTGAACCTTTGGAGCAATCGATCTAGGATTGACAGGCAATCGCCGAACGTCTCGCTTCCGAAGCAAATGTCATCAGCAAACGATCTCCGGTCAAATACTAGGACTCATCTGGTTCATCATTCGAGAACATATCGGCCGCAGGCCTGTTGACGAGTTCTGAGAAAAGGTCTGGGTTCGATGCTGACTCTCA